GATCGCTCTCCGAACGAGGAATCCATTGGTGGGGTCACACGTTCGGTTCAAGTCCCATTTAGCGACTCTGGAGCTCAAAACGCGTTTAGAATTTTGACCGCCTCCACTGGCCTTCTGGCCCGCTGTGCCGCGCCCCAGGCGCCCCAGGGCACACAGGGCGCCGTCTGCCGACCGGGGCGTTCCGGGGTGGGGTGGGGTGGGGGGCTCCCGGTGCAAAGGTGCGCGCTAACGGACATGTTTAAGTAATTGCCACCGCGTCCACGTCTTGAGTTTATCCAGAAGAGGGAGGAGGAAGCCTTTGAATTTGGGCGTAAATCTTTTTGATGAATTATACAGATGCATCTCGGGGTAATTTCTTCCGATGAATTACAATAAATTCAGATTGGTTGGTGGGATTTTACGAAATTTCCAACAGAATTCCTCGGAAATAACATATTTCAGTTCAGAGTATTCGGGAGTAATTTTTTGTGAGCTCTATTTTGTTTGTGTACAACTAGGAAGTCAGAATAAATTTTGCGTTTCTCTCAGAGTCATTCATTTCCTCTTTAGTGAGGCGCTGCGGTCCGCTCCCTCGGACTCAATGAAGAGTGTCTTGGCGATGTCGCGACGTCTGTCTCTGTGATTGCACCGACGTGGGTGGCGCTTGCAATTCCCTGATGTCGCTCCGCAACGCTCGCTCCTGACGCACAGTGGGCCAGAAGACCGGTGGAGGCGGTCAAAACTCCAGACGCGTTTTGAGCTCCAGAGTCGCTAAGCAGGAGTCGAACTGAACGTGTGACCCCACCAATGGATTGCTCTCCGAACGAGGAATCCATTGGTGGGGTCACACGTTCGGTTCGAGTCCTGTTTTGCGACTCTGGAGGAGCTCAAAACGCGGCTAGAATTTTGGTCGTCTGGTCCACTGTGCGTCGTCTGCAAACGAGACGTTTTTGTCCAGCTTGCAGTTCAGTGCTCTCGCCCATTGGACAAAACCTCGCCTCCAGAACAGGTCCAGTTTGAGTTCCGAGAGGACCAGCCGCTGTTATCCCCGACCGGGGCCGAACGGCAGGGCCGAGCGAGTCCCGAACGCGTCCCGAACAGGGCCCGAACCCTTCCGACATTCCTTTCAAGTGACGCTGCAGGGCATCCAAGACCTGCTATGCCATGCAAAGTGCGTGCGCGTACGAGTACCCTGCGGAAAACGGAGTGCACAGTGGGCCGGAAGACCGGTGGAGGCGGCCAGAACTCAAGACGCGTTTTGAGCTCCAGAGTCGCTAAGCAGGACTCGAACCGAAAGTCTGACCCCCACAAATGGATTCCTCGTTCGGAGAGCAATCCATTGGTGGGGTCACACGTTCGGTTCGAGGCCCATTTAGCGACTCTGGAGCTCAAAACGCGTGGATCGGGGTGAAGACCAGTGAGTTACTCTTTGTCGCGCTGGTGGCGCCCTGCCTGTCCGCACGCTGTCGGCGCGACAGTGTCGCGGATGGTAATGACGCGGGCTGGTCATTCATCCGGCCCGTCGCTCTGTCTCTCTCGCACCCCATCGGCGCGCCCCGCGAGTGCGAGAGAGACAGAGCGATGAAAGCTGCCGCTCGGAATCAGCCGGCAGCTAATTTGCATATCGAGCACGCTGCCGCGCGGGAGTGTGCACGACCGCAGTAGCAGATTCTTCATCGTGGCGTGTCGTGACACACACACACACACACACACACACACACACACACACACACACACGAGAAGTACCGACGACGTACCTGCGGGTCTCTGAGCCAGGGGCGTGGGAAAGGGGTACAGTATGACCGAGTGCGCCGAGAGGCGAGCGAAAGGAGAATGAGATAAGAGGGAGGAGAGGGAGATAAGAAAAAAGAGGAAGAAGAAGAAGGAGAAGCAGGCACGTGGCATGGAGCCGCCACATGTGTGCCTCCCCTCCCTCCGTCCGTCCGTCCGTCCCCTCGGCCGCCTCTGGCCCCGCCCCTCCCAGAACCACCCCGAACCACCCTGCACAATGCACCCCTAGGGTGTGTTCTCTTTGATATTTCTCCCGATATTTTTTCTCGATACAGGTCCCGCTCTCCCGCTGGCCGGCCGGTCGCGTGGCCGCGGCCGCTGCCGAAAAGGGAACGGGATAAAGTGATTCGGCAGTGCAGGGATTGTCGCCGGCCGAGCTGAGAAACAGATCCTCCGCACAGTGGGCGCTGGCGGCCAAAACTCTAGACGCGTTTTGAGCTCCAGAGTCGCTATATGGGGCTTGAACCGAACTTATGACCCCACCAATGGATTCCTCGTTCGGAGAGCAATCCATTGACGGGGTCACACGTTCGGACTGAGTCCCATCTAGCGACTCTGGAGCTCAAAACACGTCTAGAGTTCGACCGCCTCCACCGGTCTTCTGGCCCACTGTGCATCGCCGACCGAGCTGAGAAATGGATCCTCCGGGGTCGTCGCAAGTTAGGCAGCAACAAAAAGATGCTGAAAACTGTTTGAGTTTGACGCAGAATACGCAGCACGGGCGTCCGCTGTTTCGGTCGCTGACTTGGGCGCTCCGCCGCGGCAAAGTCTGGCAAAGAAGTCTGCTGCCTCTGCCTGGGTGCGCGCCGGGCAAATGTTTGCCTGCATAGACGAAGACAAATACCGTGTGCGATATTGGGTGGCCCTGGCGCTGCCTGCCTAATCAAACAGTGTGTCCCTTTCGGACCTCTCGCTTCTTTTATCGGCGTAGGTGCACGTGCCGACTAAGTCGTGACGAGTCCCGGTGCCCCGCGTCAGAGGATACTACCAGAGGCACCGCGTTGTCAGCATCAGCTGGCGGAGAGCACTCCTTGACTATCCGCGTCATCAGGCGCCACTTCACAGTGAGCCAGAAGACGCCGGCGCAGGCGGACAAAACTCGAGATGCGTTTTGATCTCCTGAGTCACTCAATGGTACTCGAAGCCCGCGTGTGACCCCACCAAAGGATTGCTCTCCGAACGAGGAATCCATTGGTGGGGTCACACGTCAGGTTCGAGTTTCGTTTAGCGACTCTGGAGCTCAAAGCGTGTCCGGGACTTTGGCCGCCTGCGCCGGCCTTCTGGCCCACTGTTCGCTCCTTGACTGTCCGCGTCATCAGACACCACTTGGCGCGCCGATCCGCGTCCTACAGTGGCTGCACGAGCTGCAGATCGACCCAGAGTACTCGTGAAGGGCTCTTCGCGGAAAAGGACCGAGTACGGATGAGATGAGAGCCTTGTCATTCGCGGATCAAGTCAGCTGTAGTAATCACACTGTGAAAGTGTTGGATGTCATTTCGCAAGTTATAGGCTGATTTTCCCTAACAAGGATGTCGTTGCAACAATTCATACAATTACTGTCACCTTTGCTTTGAGCTTTGATGAACATGTCTCCGATTTGTGATCAAATTTTCATTTGAAAGTGGTGAAAATGGCACTCACAGTTTTGTCATAAGACCCACTGACTCGATCATCCTGGACAAGTCAGCCAGTTGTACGTGGCTCGTCCCGTGTTTCTCGAGCTGGCTACTCGTTCTCTGGACGAAGACTGGACTGCTAACCTAGATCATCCTAGATAAATCCAACGCCATCTTTCTCTCCTACTCCTGTAGATTTCTTCAGAGAGATGATCGTAGACGTTGTTCGATCGGGAAGACAAAGCGGTGTTTTCACGGTGAGGCATTGCAGCCGGTCTTCACACTGACGCCAGCCTCGTCCAACACGGCGTGCTTGGAGATGCATTCCTGGACCGCTGCCCGGCGCGCTGCCTTGCCCGTGTTGCCCGTGGCTTGCCCCGAGCGGCCTACGTATTACAGTAGTAATTGATTCGGCCAGTAGTCAGACTCCGAACCGTGCCTCGCCGCTTCTCTCTCTCTCTCTCTCTCTCTCTCTCTCTCTCTCTCTCTCTCTCTCTCTCTCTCTCTCTCTCTCTCTCTCTCTCTCTCACTCTCATGAGTGCGAGGGAGACGGACGACTTCAGCCCGCTGGAGGGAAATGGAGCCCGACTACATTTTATCTAAGATGAAGGAGGTTGCACTTGGGCGGGGGCTCTCCGAGTCGCTAAACAGGCCTCGAACCGAACGTGTGACCCCACCAATGGATTCCTCGTTCGGAGAGCAATCCATTGGTGGGGTCACACGTTCGATTCGAGCCCCATTTAGCGACTCTGGAGCTCAAAACGCGTCTCTAGAGTTTCGCCGGATGTGCCGATGAGGGCGCACCTGATGCGAGCAGTTCCAGACCCAAGACTGCCTCTAGGCGACGGGGAAGTTTTAAGAGCAGTTAATGAAGATAAGGAGGCCTGGGGTTATTAAAAGGCGGATGAAGGCTGCGGATGATAACCAAGTTGGGAATAAGGCGACAGTAATATCAGCTGATTTAATGAGATGAATTATGGACGCCATATGCCGCCTCGCCAAGTTCGTTCTGCTGGTCTTCACTTGCAGTGCGGGTGTTCTGCCGTTCACTGGTGGGCCAGAAGGTCGGTGGAGGCGGTCAAAATTCCGGACGCGTTTCGAGCCCCAGAGTCGCTAAATGGGACTCGAACCAGATATGTGACCCCGCCAATGGATTGCTCTCCGAACGAGGAATCCTTTGGTGGGGTCACACGCTCGGTTCGAGTCCTGCTCAGCGACTCTGGAGCTCAAAACGCGTCTAGAGTTTTGACCGCCGTCGCTGGTCTTCTGGCCCACTGTGCTGTGGGAGTACAGGTACCTCCAAAAGTGGGAAGCATTCTCGGTGAGCTCCACTCGACGCACACTTCCGTCGCGCCGGCTCGTCCCACGGGCCCGGCGCTGCTCGCCACGGCGCGGCGCGGCCCCCCACCCCGCCACCTACCGCACCCTGCCGCCCCGCCCCCCGCCCCCCCGCCTGCCCCGCCCCGCCCCTCGGCTGGACGGCGGGCCGCTCCCCTCGCCTGCACCGCTGTTGGCTGCCGGGCTGGCTGCGTGGCTGCCTGCCTGACTGGCGGCGAGGCTGCCTGCCTGCCTGCCTGGCGGGCGGCTCTTGGCCAGAGGGGGATTTCGTGGATTTTGCCTCAGTCGAGCCGCGGAGTCGGCAGAGTCATGTAGCAGCGGGCCGCACGCTCGTGTGCTTCGCGCTGAGTGTGTGAGTGAGTGGGTGTTTTGTACTACAGTGTGGATGCAACAAGACGTGTGTGTTAGTGTGTGTGTGTGTGTGCAACGGCCTTGTGGATAGCGGCCCGCCTTGCAATGCTGCGATGAAGAAGATGGTGGTGGATAAAGTGATTTGAGTGAAAGTGCTTTTACAAAAGTGATCGACATGAATCAGTGCGACGTACAGTGGATACACTTGGACCCGCTTCATGCCAACCGATTCGACGAGTGAGTATCGCATTATCCAGCGGTAGTTATGTAAGTGGGCCGCGCTGTGCGCCGCTGTGCGCCGCGGCGACGATGACGTCCTCTGCGGCACTGCAAGGCACTGCACTGTGAAATGCACTGTGAAATGCAATGCAAGGCACTGCACTGAATGGCACTGTACTGCAAGGCACTGAGGAATGCACTGTGAAATGCACTGCAATGGACTGCAAGGCACTGCACAGCGCTCTGAAATGCAACTGCAAGGCAACGCAGGCCACTGTGAAATGCACTGCAAGGCACTGCAAGGCAATGTGAAATGCACTGCAAGGCAATGCACGCCACTGTGAAATGCACTTCAAGGCACTGCAAGGCAATGTGCAATGCTCTGCAAGACAATGCAGGCCACTGTGAAATGCACTTCGAGCCACTGCAAGGCAATGTGAAATGCACTGCAAGGCAATGCACGCCACTGTGAAATGCACTTCAAGGCACTGCAAGGCAATGTGCAATGCTCTGCAAGACAATGCAGGCCACTGTGAAATGCACTTCGAGCCACTGCAAGGCAATGTGAAATGCACTGCAAGGCAATACAGGCCACTGTGAAATGCACTGCAACGCACCGAAATGCACTCCAAGGCACTGCAATGTACGGCACTGTGAAATGCACTGCAAGCCACTCCAAGGCACTGTAACATGCACTGCGAGGCGATTCAAGGCCCTGTAAGACACTGCAAGGCACTGCAATGTAAGGCACTGTGAAATGCACTGCAAGCCACTCCAAGGCACTGTAACATGCACTGCGAGGCGATTCAAGGCCCTGTAAGACACTGCAAGGCACTGCAGGGCACGGCTCGCCGAACGTAATTACACTGTAATGGATTAGCGCAAGGATGCACGTGCCGACTTCGGTCAGGCATTCTCTCGAGACTGCTGCCTTGCACAGTGCCTTGCAGTGCAGTGACTGGCAGACTGGTTGACTTGGAGACTGGCAGTCTCCAAAGCTGACAGTTTTGGAGACTGGCAGACTTCAAAACTGGTAGACTTGGAGACTGACAGACTTGGAGACTTGCAGACTTAGAGACTAAGCAGACTTCAAAACTGGTAGACTTGGAGACTGACAGACTTGGAGACTTGCAGACTTAGAGACTAAGCAGACTTCAAAACTGGTAGACTTAGAGACTTGCAGACTTGGAGACTTGCAGACTTCAAAACTGGTAGACTTAGAGACTTGCAGACTTGGAGACTGGCAGACTTAGAGACTGGCAGACTTGGATACTGGCAGCGCCACGACAGCCTCACTGGAAGGAACCTCGGCCGCTTATTTTTTGCCGGGAAATTCCTGGGATTTAGCCGTTTGTGACTTGGGTCGCTAATTCGAGGCGGCGTTCTCTCTGCCCGCGGCGCGGACCTTTGGTTTGCCGATGGGGTCTTTGTTGTAACACGAGCCGTGTGTGTGTGTGTGTGTTTGTGTGTGTGTGTGTGTGAGTGTGAGTGTGTGCGGGTGGTGGGGATCCTGATCACTCCAGAGGGACCGTCCCTTACCGGCCCGTTGTGTGTACCTGGAGGGCCTGGAGGGTGGGTACCGCCACCCAGGTAAGAGGGGAAAAGGGGGGGGGGGCAACTCGTGATTGACAGGCGACAGCGCAGAGGGGACGCCGTGCAAGAATGGCGATCGGGCACTTTTTCCAACTTTTCGAGACGTTTCTTGGAGTGGCCGCGGCGCGTCTTGGGCGCTCTCCACCGAGGGGTGACCCACTGTCAAATTTTATGTACAATGATTGTGTGAATGTGCAAGAATGTGCAAGATTTCTGGCGTTTTTGCCACACATGTTGCCTACTTACAGGCGTTTTTGCCACCTGAATGTGGAATGTGGTCAAATTTTGTACAATGAATGTGTGAAGCTGTTCCCCCCTCGCTCTCCACGGATCGCGCGGTGTAGTGTGTGGGAACCGCGCTTTTTGTGCGATGCGATTTTTCTGTTTTGTTGTTTTTCGACCGGAAGGAAGCAAGGAAGGGAAGAACAAACATCGACTTGGGAGCGGGAGCTAGTCGATCGATCGATCGATCGATCAAAAAATTTCGATTATATACGAAGGGAGCGGAGGCGGCGTCTCCCTCGCCACAGACAGATGGACACACACAGCCCTTTGGGCTCCATTTATCCTCTGTGTGTGTGTGTGTGTGTGTGTGTGTGTGTGTGTGTGTGTGTGTGACGCGACGGAACGGGTCAGACGGGCGGGGAACGACGCCACCAGGTGACCCCCCCCCCCTTTTTTCCCTCCCCAACTACTTCACGTTTTTATTTCCTCGAGTTCATGCCTTTGGTTCGGTCGGGGACCTCTCTCCATTCCGGACGACGCGCTTCGTCTCTGTCTCTCTCGCACTCGTGGGGCGTCCCGCAAGGGGGAGAGAGAGAGAGAGAGAGAGAGAGAGAGAGAGAGAGAGAGAGAGAGAGAGACGACAAGGCGGCCGCGCGCGCCGAACCCAGCCCACGCGGAGCGTAGCGTACGGAATCGTTTGTTCTCGTTGGATCAACAGTCCGCGGCATTGTGGCACCGAAGCTAAGGTGATTTTGGGTGCAGTTTGCAGTGCACGCTGCACTGCGGACACCGCCTTGGACGCTGGACAGTGCTCGAGGAAACTCCGTGAGGTGTGGCTGGGTTTTCCAGCCCTGGACTCTCCAGAGTCCCATCACTGGGCTCTCCAGAGTCCCATCACTGGGCTCTCCAGAGTCCCATCACTGGACTCTCCAGAGTCCCATCACTGGACTCTCCAGAGTCCCATCACTAGGCTCTCCGGAGTACCATCACTGGACTCTCCAGAGTACCATCACTGGGCTCTCCAGTGTACCATCACTGGACTCTCCAGTGTACCATCTTTGGACTCTCCAGAGTAACCATCAATGACTCTCTGGAGTACATACCATCACTGCTGGAGTTTCACGTCACTGGAGTGTCCTATGGCACGCCACTGGACTGGCACGTCACTGGAGTACGTCACGTCACTGGAGTAAGTCACTTCACCGCAGTATGTCACGTCACTGGAGTATGTCACGCCGCTGGACTGACAGTGGACTGTCTCTAGAATGTCGCGTAGTCGCCCACGTGACGTCACCCAGGGCAGTGTTCGCGCGTCCTGAGGAAACGATGCCGATGGATTGGCTGGTGTGCGATTAGCGATAAGGTCAGTGGCCTGCATCGCCTCTCGAGAGTCTCGAGTCTGTCGAGGGCCGATAGCTATGCCAGTGACGTGGAGATAATGCCCCGACTCACGCTCACCTGACTGGCCGCACAGTGGGCCAGAAGACCGGCGGAGGCGGACAAAACTCTAGACGCCTTTTGAGCTCCACAGTCGCTAAACAGGACTCGAACGGAACGTGTGACCCCACCAATGGATTGCTCTCCGAACGAGGAATCCATTGGTGGGGTCACACGTTCGGTTCGAGTCCCATTTAGCGACTCTGGAACTTGAAACGCGTCTAGACTTTCGGCCGCCTCCACCGTTCTTCCTAGCAAAGTACGTAATGTTTCCGATAAGTCGCTCTTCGCAACTTTGCCTGTTCCCTTTGGCCTATTTGATGAGTAGACCGGAGCAAACATGGCCGAAGTCTCGTTGTCCGTGCAAGCACTTAGTTTTTGTTGCGTGACGCCTTCACGGCGTGAAGACCCGTGCTGCGCACAGGTACGCACGGTGCAATGGCAGACAGACACCTTGTTCTTGATTTGCTTTTGTGTCGTATTGTCACACCCCGTGTCACACCCAGGTGTCGCGTTGCCTGAGGTGGTCGTCCCTTCCGGGAAACAAAAGGGAGCATTGGTTCCCCTCCACGACGCACAGTGGGCCAGAAGACCGGTGGAGGCGGCCAAAACTCTGGACGCGTTTTGAGCTCCAGAGTCGCTAAATAGGGCTTAAGTCGAACGTGTGACCCCACCAATGGATTGCTCCCCGACCGAGGAATCCATTGGTGGGGTCACACGCTCGGTTGGAGTCCTTTTAGTGACTCGGGAGCTCAAAACGCATCTAGGGTTTTGGCCGCTGGCGCCGGTCTTCTGGCCCACTGTGCGATGGGTGGCCGTTCCTTTTGGCCGAGACGGACGGGTCTAGGAGGCGGCGCCGTGCCGTCGTCAGGTGTTCCAGTGATTTAGCGCGCCGAGGGTGGACTTGATTTCCATGCTAATTCGGCCAGGGAGTGATGAATCCAATCTCACTTGGGACTCGGTGCAAGCCCCGGCCCGAAGCCTGGCTCAGTCTGTCCGCCGCGCACAGTGGGCCAGAAGACCGGTGGAGGCGGTCAAAATCCCCGACGCGTTTTGAGCTCCAGAGTCGCTAAATGGGACTCGAACCGAACGTGTGACCCCACCAATGGATTGCTCTCCGAACGAGGAATCCATTGGTGGGATCACGCGTTCGGTTCGAGTCCTGTTCAGTGACTCTGGAGCTCAAAACGCGTCTGGAGTTTTGGCCGCAGCGTCCAACCTTAAACCTTAAACCGGTCTTCTGGCCCACAGTGCGGCACGCTCCGCAGAGCGGTGAGTGCGGGCAGCGGAATCGGACTGTACTGGGGCTGGAAGGCTGGAAGGGCGCTGGAGTCAGCTGCTGCTGAGGCTGACGCACCTGCTGGCCGCACCTGTCGCCCACGCGTGCCCGGCAGGCATGCCTGGGCCGTGCCGTGCCGTGCCGTGCCTGGCAGGCAGGGCGTGCCGCCTGCAGGGTGGCCGCCGCCCGGCCGGACAGACTGAGCAGCCGGCCGGCTGGCTGGCGGGGCCCAAACTGGAACAGGAAGGTGGGCAACAAGTCCCAACTCGAACCGAACGTGTGACCCCACCAATGGATTCCTCGTTCGGAGAGCAATCCATTGGTGGGGTCACACGTTCGGTTCGAGTCCCATTTAGCGACTCTGGAGCTCAAAACGCGTCCGGGATTTTGGCCGCCTCCACCGGTCTTCTGGCCCACTGCGAGAAACCCGCTGGAAAAGCGCATCCCCCGGCACGCGCGTGGCGTGGCGGCCCACGTGCGCGGT